TATTGCTAATACAATATTTCATTGCATGTATTTTATATTAACAATATTGGTTAATATTATTTTGTATTTGCATTTTGAGACAGAAGAGGAATAAGCAAAAAAAACTCCATGAGGATTCCAATAGTAGGGACTTCCAGCAGATTTGCACAAGACGTGAAGGTTATCTCAGCTGCTCAGCTAGAGTATGCAGGAACCTATGTAGGGAATACGCTGGAGGCAACTGATCACTTTAATGACAATGGCAAAGGCATCATTTCTTACTGTGTGGGAGAAAGTAATGATATTCTACCAAGAAAAATACATGAATAGAAAATCCATTGACTGATGATATAGTATTGGACCCAGCAGGTCAGATGGCACTCAACGGGCAACTCAACAAAAGCTGAGGATCCCTTGCACTACCAAGGGTGTTTATGACATGGATAGATTAAAACTTTCAGGATTGCTAGTTGCTAATGCTGCCATGCAAGAAAAGAAAATTTGAAGTTACAAAGACAGAATTACAATAGGAACATTGTAATTCTGAACATAGAGCCTTGATGGCACAGTGGTTAGAGTATAGTATTGCAGGGTACTTCTGCTGACTGACTGCAATTTGCCAGTTCAAATCCCACCAGGCTCAAGGTTGACTCAGCCTTCCACCCTTCCAAGGTGAGTAAAATGAGGACCCAGACTGGGGGCAATATGCTGACTCTGTAAACTGCTTAGAGAGGGTTGTAAAGCACTATAAAGCAATATGTAAGTCTAAGTGCTATTGCTATTGCTAACATAGAATGAAAGAAACATAAATATGATAAAGTTCAATGCACTGAAAGATGAAAGGAATTTACTACACATTGTCATCTAAGGTATCATTGTCATCTTAGGTGTCATTGTATTTGGAGAGCTCAGTAGCAGTCTCAAATGGGCAGCCACAACAATTGAAATTACAAATTAAATAAATATGGTAAATATTTATGGCCCCATCTAGGGACCCTTTAATATGACAATAAACCAAGTTTAAGCTCCAATCACCGATGCAGAAGAGATAGTTGACAAGTTTTATCTTGTGATTAATCTGAAACTAAACAATATCTGCTGCTTTTGACTAAAGACTAGAATGCCAAAATTGGAAATACTAAGGAAGTTAATGTTGTGGCCCATGTGACCTATGAAACCAAAATAAATGCAAAATGACTTGTCAATTTCTGTCAATCCAAACATTTCTTAATTGCCAGCACAGTCTTTAAACAACTAAAACAATGCCTATGACCATGGACATCACCTAATGGCTACATTTTTGGTACAATTAGTGGCTAATAGCTAACCATAGAACAGATCATGTACAAGTTAAGCTAAACTGGAAGAATGCAATTCAGTTTACATTGTATAAACCTGGAAGGACACACACAAACACACACACACACATATACTGTATGTGCAACCATTTTTGAAGAGAACATCAGGAATCACTTTGAGATCCTGAACCTCATTGGTAGGGAAGTAGAAAAACTGTAGAATTAACTTAAAGTAAATTGTTAAGAGTGAATAAAAAAAGACTTCAAACGATCAAGTAACAGAAGAAAACAAACTAGATATCAAAACAAACAGTGGAAATTGCCAAAAATATTCAGAAAGAAAACTATAGTCAAGACAGTCATTATAAAAAGGAATTTAACAAAGACTTAGGAAGAACTGTTAGATGAGACAAGATTTAATATTACAACATTTGTAAAGATATAAAAGGAGAAAAACAAAAAAACAAGCAGTCTTCCAAAAGTTCTCTGAACTCAGATTGGGTTCTCACCTCAAATTGGTATGGTAAAGGATGCCAGTGGACAGTTAGTAACTGATTCAAAAAAGGTCAAACAAAAATGGAATATGCTGAAATTCTATACAGTAAGAGTTGTCAAGATCCAAGATATCTTAGAAAATACTTCCTATTTATAGGGCCTATAGTACAAGGCCTTCAACTTACGACCACAAATGAGCCCCAAATTCCTGTTGCTAAGTGAGATATTGGTTAAGTGAGTTTTGCCCCATTTTTGACTTTTTTGGCCATAGTGGTTAAGCGCAGCTGTTGAGTTAGGAATACAATTGTTAAATGAATTTAACTTCCTCATTGATTTTGCTTGACTGAAGGTCACAAAAGGTGATTACATGACCCCAGGACTGTCAATTGCAAGCATCTGAATTTGGATCACATGAGCATGCTGCAATGGTTGTAAGTGTGAAAAAAGCAGTCATAAGTCACTTTTTTCTGGTGTCGTTGTGATTTCGAATGGTCACTAAATGAACTGTTGTAAAGTTGAGAACTACCTGTACTAGCCATTGAAATGAGATGAGCACATCAGTCATTACAAGTTGGAAAGCTATAAGAACTCATTAAATAACTAGATAAATATGACAAGCAATAGAAGAAGAATCAATAAAAATTCTAACCAAACTTTGCCAGCAAATATGAAGAACAATGACCATTTAGAGGACAGATGAAACCAATCTACATAACAATATCAAAGAAATGAGACTTACAAAGTTCGAACAATGTTGAACAACAGCTTTGATTTCACACACTAGCGATGCTTGGGATAATCCAATGCAGATTAAACTCTATTTAGAAAGGAAGATGCCAGGTGTTCAAGCTGGCTTTAGAAAAGGCTAAGAATCATGAAACATCATTGCTGATGTATGCTGTATATTGAAAAAGCCAAAGAATAATAATAATAAAAAAGAAGTTAGTGTTTTACTAGATTATAGAAAGAACTTTAATTGTGCTGATCATGTTCAATAAGTATAATATGGTTTAAAATTAGTTTAAAAAATAGGAATCAGCAAACAACTCACTTGGCAAAGAATTGAAAAAGGACTGTATATTTTCCCCTTATTTATTCAACCTGAATATATATTGAGGGAAGACAGATTTAAAGGTTTTAAAAACCTTTAAAGACCATGGTTTTAAAATTAGAAAGATAAGCACTAATAATTTGCATTATGCTGATGATATTTAATCAGATAGCTGAAAATGCAAATGAAATGCACTCTAATAAGGAAAGTCAATTAGCACAATGAAAAAAAAGGGCACTAAAATTAAATACGAAGTACAAACTAAGGACAATAGGTACTACAAACAGGTTTAGAACTAACTATGAACATACCAAAGTGGTGCATAGCTTCTACATTTTAGGATCATCCATCCATAGCAGTAAGGAACAAGCATTCAAGATATATGCCATAGACTAGCACTTGGAAGAACAGTAATGAAAGCCTTGGAAATGTGGTGATGTGGAGATGTGGTGATGATATATTTAACTTACAAAAATTAGAACTTTGCAGACAATATGGAAGTGAAAGTTGGACTTCGAAGAAGCAGGATCAAAACAGTATTGATGCTTTTGAATGTTGGTGTTGGAGAAGACACCTAGAAACACCAAGGATAGCCAAGAAAACAAACAAATGGATCATTGAAGAAATCCACGCAATGTTCTCACTCAAAGCAAAAATAAAGAGACTCAAATTATCAGACATTATGCAAAGACATAACTTTCTGGGTAAGTAAATAATGCTGGGAAAGGCAGAATAAACAATAAGAGAATGGTTTGGAATGGTATAGGGTCTTCTCCTTGAGCAGGGAGTTGGATTAGAAGACCTTCAAAGCCCACTCCAACTCTATAATTCTTTAATTCTGTTAAGGTGAATGGACTTAGTTACAGTAGTGATGGACATACCGTTGGAGAAGACCTGAAGGATCAGGCTGGGGATAGATCCTTCCGGGGAAAATCTATCTAGGTGGTTGCTAAGAGTTGACAGTGAGGGAGAGAGAGGAAGGGAAAGGCCAGAAAATATATCAGAGAAGGCATATCTCTTTTTCTGCAGCAAAAAAGTGACTCCCTATTTTTTAAATGGTTCAACATGCTAAAATATGAATATTAATAAATTCCATAAGTTATGTTAATTCTGGACAACAAAAGAACACAATATCTGATATGTTGTAATGCATAGAGGTAGAAATGCATTGACAAATGCATTGTAATCTGATTTGGTATTTAATTTACATGTCAGTAGGACTGATTTTATTTATCCTGGCCAGTGTCCCACAGGTTATTATTTTATTACTGTCCTGAGAACACGGGTGGGAAATCTACCATGATCTGATGGTGCACCAGCCAAGATCAGTGACATAATCATTCAGGGTGTCATAAAAACAGAACTTGGAAGCTAATGCAAGCTGCTAGTTCTGAATTTTCTACCTCTGTGCTAAGAATATGTAAGCCATTGCTCAGTACCAGCTCAGTACATTTTCATTTGAAGTTTGCTGTTGTTTTGAAATTGAACTTCTAATGTACTGCAATTGATTGGCAAATATAGTAGGAATAGAAGCCATCTTTTTTTAAAAAAAAATTTCCCCAAGTTTAATATTTTGTCACAATTACAGATTCTTGAAGAAGCTGTTTATAGAATTTTTTTAAAAAGTTTTTATTTTATTTTATTTTATACAGACAATCCATCTTCCATTTAAACAGTGTCATCTGGGTACAAATACTTATGCAATAACAATTACTGTTAATACATATTCATTACTATAGTATTAATACTCTATTCTTACTTTATATTGCTATACATAATGTATCTAATTATTATGACAATCCCCATCTTAGCATATTTAATTCTTATTCACATGCTCACTATTTTTGCTAATCTTTAATTTCTAATTTCCAGATTTATTCTCCAGCCATTGATAAAGTAGTTCCCATATCATATAATATTCAGCTTGTTCCTTTTCTTTAATTGCAAGTGTTAGCCTGTTTATTACAGAAATTTTCAATGTTTTCAAAATATATATGTCATGATGAAAATGAATCTAATTGCTTTGGGTTAAAGTATAAGACTGAAAAGCAAAACTATAAATTGTAAGACCTGTCTAAACTCTTCTCTAAAAAGTGGCAGAAAAAATGTTTCAATAAGTGAGCACATCACCATTTGGACTTTTTTGAGCTCTCTTTCTCCAGAGATTTCTAGATAACTATTTTGATTTTGATATACGCAATATCAGTTCTGATGGAAAGAATTTTTGACATACATTTTCAGATATTGAGGGAGGGCTCTCAACACCCAAAGTGGTAAAAGAAGGAGGAAATTAAATGTGACTGTTTATAAGGAGGATAGATGATATTTTTCATATTAGCTGTCAAGTCAAGTTCCAGTAAACATATAAATAAAAAAAATGGGGAAGTTTAGTAGCAAAATGATGAATGGACCAGTCTTTAACAACCCTAAGTTACAATGGTGCTGAAAAATGGCTGGCTTACAATTGGTCCTCACACTTACGAGTGTTGCAGCATCCCCATAGTCACGCGATCAGAATTTGGTTGCTTAGCAAATGGCATGTACAGTATTTACAGCAGTTGCAATACCCTGGTGTTACATGATCGCCACTTCCCAGCTAGCCTCTGACAAGCAAAGTCAATAGGGGAAGCCAGATTCACTTAACAAACATGATGATTTGCCTCATGACTATGGTGAAAAGGTTATAAATCAAGCATGACTCACTTAATGATCTTATCACTTAGCGACAGAAATTCTGGTCCAATTGTGATCGTAATTCAAGGATTTGCACATGATATACATGATATGAGATCAGACAGACCACATTCTTCCAGTTTAGAAAATGAAATTTATTCATTCAGAAATATATATACAAATGAATAAATGGAGGGATGTGCATTTGTGTATCCATATGTCTGTGTCTATATCTATATCTACATATGTAACAAAGACATAAAATTACTAAGATCTGGTGAAAGCAACTTAACAAAACTAATTTAAGAAGATTCTGTTTTTGAAATAAAATATTCAACATATCTAGAAAGTCTAGATATGTGCACTTTTGCTTGAAAAAAAAAATCAAAGATTAAGAGGAATATCTAATGCCCTTATCTAGTGACAAAGATCTGATCAGTATTCACTGGAGAAATGGAACTAAAATGTGGAATTTCAATCTGGATACCTTGGTGTTTTTACTCAGAATTTCTATTTTTGGAAAAGAGCCCTATATCTACAGCTATAATAGATTAGCATTTGACTCTAGGCATTCTGCATCAGGCTCTAGAAATGATAAACAGCCATCAATATTAATCACTATCAATAGCCTATTCCTCCATGAGCCCGTCCAGTCCACTTTTAAAACCACCCAGATTGGCTGCCATTACCCCAGGTGTTGACAGCAAATTCTGCATTAACTTGGCTCTGTGTAAAAGAATTTCCTTCTGCATTATTTTCAGTAATGAGTTAAAATTTCATACTGTGTGAAAGAAAAACAGCAATTATCTGCGCTTTCCATGATTTCCCATGTAAGTCCTTTCACCATCCTTCATTTTGAGCTAGAAAGCTCCAGTGATGTAGTTGCACCTTCCATCTCTCCAGTTATTTTGGTTGCCTTTTTTTTCCTGGACATTTTCCAGCTGCAGTGACTAGAACGCAATACTCCAAGAGTGACCTCCTGATAGTTTTGTACAAGTATCTTATTACACTGGCAATTCTATTTTCAATTCCCCTCCTAATAATTGTAACCAAAAGATTTTCCATTTTTGAAACAGGTGCACATTGGGTTGACATTTTCATTGAGATGGAGTTCACCAAGACTCAAATCCCATTAATGTATAAGTGAAAGTTTGTAATTTTTACATCAATAGGTTTTGCTTTCCACTTGTTAACACTGAATTGCTTTTGCCATTTTGAAACCCATTCACCTCATTGGAGAGATCATTTAGAGGTTTTTACAATGCCTTTAAAAAAATTTTTTTTTAGCATATTGAACTATGTAGTGTTGAGGTAATTCCCCATTAGGAGAATGAGCACATACAGGGAGACATATTTGAGAGTAGTGTTTGAATAATACACATACAGCACACAGATACACTGTACAGTAAATGTAGGTTTTTACTTCCTGAAATGTTAAGAAAGTCCAAACAAGCAATCCAAAGTCATTCACAGGTAAATCAGTTTTTTCAATCCAGGGATATTTCAATAACAAAGTCCAGTGTCAAAAAACAGTTCAGTAACAAACTTACATTAAATCCAGAAAATATCAGTCAATTAAGAAAAATGGCAATACTCTCCAACAGAAGGAAACAGAGACTTACTCACACTCTCTTCTGAGACTAAGGCTAAACAACCCAGGTTTCTGGCTCCATCTTATGTCCGTTTGAGAAACCACACCCAACTACAGTTTTGCATTTTCTTAAAGATACAGTTTTAAAATGTCTATCCTGGTTTATATATTTCTAACCCAAATACCTGTTAGGTGACTTATACTCCTAACATGTATGATCTGTACAGTGACCATATTTTCTTGGAAAAAAATAAAAGACAATCCTGACAATCCTGAGCAAATCTGAAAAAGGTTCATAAGGATTTTTTTTAATTGATTGTTTATAACTTTGCTTTACAAAGGAAAATTCAAGAGCAAAACCAAGAAAACAAGTAATTAAATAACTCTAAAGAACCTCTTTATTTCTGAAATAAAGGACTATAATCAGGGATGTATGGCCACTGTAATCATCTGCAAATGGACTCCCTATTCAACCCCAACTTCAAAATTATTCATCTTCAAGTTAAAAAGCACCAATTCTGATATCAGTCATAGAAGACCCCACTGTGTACATCTTGCCAGTGTGAAATTGCCAATTTATTCTTACTATTTCCTGTTTTTATAACCAGCTGTGAGAGACATTGGCTAAGGTTTTTAAAAAAGTTTGAGAATAAAATATCCCTTGTTTACATTTATTGATGCCTAGAATATCAGTTAGACCAGTCTTACCTTGGAGGAAGTCATGGTTTAAATTTTCAGCTGGGCTTGTTCTTCAGTGTGTTTGCTTGCTTGCTTTTTAATAAATACTTTCAACAATTTTCCCCAGAAGAGATGTTAAGATAACTGGCCTTGTTCCAGCTAGCTCCTGCTCTTTGGAAATAACTCCCACTCAAAGTACATTAGGAAACAGATCTCTCAAGGTTTAAAAAGGGTCTTTAAGGGGATTTTTTTTCATGTAATGTTGGAAGAATATTATTACCCTGCTCCAGTTTAAATAAGAGCACAGTTGGGCTCAGTTCATGGTTATAAAATTAATAGATAGATTTGTATGATTTTTGTTATACCCTGTTTGTATTACTTTTAGGTATAAATATATATCAAATAAAACTACCACAATTACTACTATGTTTATTACCCTCCTTGCAGTCCTGGAGAACAGATCCTAATGTTGAAAAGAAGTTGCCTATTTTATGAAAAGAAAAGCAAATCAGAAGCTGTTAAAGTATGTTTGTGTTGATACTATTTGGATGCAGGAATTTTTTTTTTTTAGTTTGTCATCCTCGTTTACAATTTTATTACTCATTATTTCTATTTCTTTCTATTCCTCCAAGATTAGAAGCATACAGAAACCCCAGTCATTCATTTATTGCTCTGACATTTCTTTTGTCTTGTACTCCAACAGTCTCTCTGGTAGTTTCAATTTCCAAATATATTTGAAAAAGTTTGTGGATTCTCTCATTATTTTCAATTCATTTTTTTTTGTTTCATTTATTAATTTGATTGCACATCTTTCTGCAGAGTAGATGCTCCTTTTTGTTCTCTGCATTTCTACCAGATTTCCATATAGTCAAAGTCTGTGTGCCTGACTGCTCATAGCAGGTTCACGACACATTTTTCCAAGCCAAAATTCCTTCTGCCTGTTTCACAGTTTGTGCTTGAAATGTAACAACTTGCCCTGGCCAGCTCATCATGGCCAACTTGCCACGGGACAGTTTGCTGCAGCCAATTCACTGCAGGAAAACTTGGCACAAGGCAATTCAACAATTTTATTTAATTATTTTAAATATTTTAATTTATATCATTTGCGTTTCATTTTGTTCCTCCTTTTGCATCTTTTCTTTAATGATTCTGCTTCACCATTTCTTCGATATTTGTCCCGTGGCAAATTGTCCTGGGTCGAGTTGGCCGTGGCGAATTGTCCCATGGCGAGTTGGCTGTGGCAAGCTCCATGCCTCCTCAAATCCCATCCTCCAATACTCCAAATGGAAGGAATAAAATAGAAAAGGGACCTGAGATGATGAACAGTGGGAGAGAAGCCAAGATACTGGCAAAGGTATGACTGATGCTGAATATGGAACTCGTATTATTTAATCCCGAGTCACAGCAGGAAAATCTGTTCTACCTGAGGCTCAAATTGTGATCCGAATGCCAACTCACACTTGTAGGAAGTGGCCAGCTGGGGGAATTTAACTCAGCTTTCTGTATGAACTGTCATATTAAAGAAGCAAGTAGGTAGATGAGCAGAGCAGAGCACTGAAATAGTGCATTGTGATTGTGCTCTTTTTCTACCCTGCAGTCACTATATGCCCTCCATAGCTGCCCTGGAAATTCTGTAAACAAGTTAAGACAGATTTGTGGATACATGTTAGAGGTAGCGATAGAAATATGTATTTTATGAGTGGAAGTTCCCTCTTTAATTTGAGATGAACTTTAATATTATGAGATAGAGATGATAGATAGATAGATAGATAGATAGATAGATAGATAGATAGATAGATAGATAGATAGATAGATAGATAGATACTGTGTTTCTCACAAAATAAGGCCGGGCCTTATTTTTTTTTTTTGACCCCCCAAAAACAGCTAGGCTGTCTTTTCGGGGGTGACTTAATTTCCCCCCCTTGCATCCTTGGGTGGCCGGGAGGTGTGGCCCTGGTGGGATGAGCGGAGGGCCCGGCGGGGAGGCACTCATTGCCTTGGTGAGAGCTCTGCTGCCAGGAAGGAGGGCCTGCCTGTCAGCTGCGCTGGGCACCCCAGGCAAAGCTCTTCACACTCTGCCCAGCGCCAGGCAAGGATGGCGGCTGGGTGCTTCTCCGATCCTGCGCTGCAGCCCCAGGAGATTCGCCTCCCCATGTGGGGTTGGGCTTCTCTCTCAGGCAGGGGAGGCTTTGTTGTACTAGGGTGTCATTTTTAAAAGAATTGGCTTTACCTTCGAAGGCAAAGGGA